AATATTTTCGTCTTTCCCGGCTGTATGCTTGCCGCAAGTTTCGCCGTAAATGCTTTGTTTACATTTCTTAAAATTAACATAACAAATTAACTAACACATCAAAAAATACATATCATATATCAAATTAAAGGTAAAAGTACATAGATTCATAATGTTAAACTGAAAAGAGACTCACCCTATTTTTTTTTAGGTATTTAATAGTTGAAGCACGGCACCGGAGAGTTGGTTCAGTAGACGCCGACACAGGTACGGACACTCGGAGCACATTTCCGCACGTCTTTCCTCCACGACAGTCAGGAACGAAATGATCTCCCGCGGACACGTTGCCATCCATCGTAACTTTATTATTAGCATTCTTAGATTAAATCTTTCGAATCCAGATTAAAGAAATAAACTAAAAGAGATATAAAAAATAATATAAGAAATTAAATAATAAAAAGAAATATAAAAAAATAATTAAGAAGATTATAATTATATAATGTATTAAGATTATTATATAATTCAAATATATAAAAAAAAATATGAACATTTCCCGACAAAATTGAAAATTTATGCGTGCCAAGTACCGATAAAGTAACGCCGCAATACCGTCGGCAACGCTCGGCAAAGACCCGGCGGTAACCTTCCGGGGGAATATTCGGCAACTTGACGTGCGAACAGTACGGAGTAGATGATGCCGGAGGGTAGCCGACAACTCTCCGCAGGGTGACGGCGGCATGCTTCCGGCTATCGTGCGGATAAACGCAGATGAGGTACGCGTATGGGGGACTTAGAAAAATTTCTCGCATCTCGCAACGGGGAAGCAAGCAAGCAGATCACGCCGGTGTGCTGCCGGCATCTCGCCGCAAGTACACGGTCGGACATTACCGATATGCAGAATTGAGCGAAATGCATATTTCATTTCATTTTTTTTTTACCTTCAAGATATAACTTAATTTAATTCAACTTTCATTCATTTAATTTAATAATGTCAATTAACTTTTAATTCATTAAAAAACTTTTTAAACAACATTTTTTTTTTACTTTAATAAAAATAAATAAAATACCTTTAACTTCAATAAATATATGTAATAATTTAATACAAGTAAGTATTCTCATACAAACATTATATATCTTCTATTTCTATTAAAACTGTATTAACATGAAAATGTTATTATCATTTATATATTAAGATTATTAAAATGTCACTCTAAGTTATAAAATGAATGATAACTTGAAGATATTGTACTTCATTACATAGTTGTGCATTTCATATATTAAAACTTCTAGGCCATTTGAATTAGCATTGTTTTATTTCGATATAAGTAAGAATAGTTATAAAGTAACGGTTTCTGCTATTTACCGATCACGTCAATAAACAGAGAAATACAAATTAATAAATAAATCTTTAAAGTATAAACAATTAATATAATCTATACAATAATAATTTATATTTATACAAAAAAAAAACGAAAATACATATATTTGTTCAATTACAATACAATAATTATGTGAAATGTTCGACGACACATTAATAGCATATGCTATCAAAAGTTAAGTCATAAAAAACAAAGAAATACGAGAATGAACAGGAATAAATAGGTTAGTAAATAAATAAAATTTAAAATAATAGTTTACCCAAAGTAATTCATTTTTTAACTGTTCTGTCTTAATTACGTCGTTTCTGATTGGCGGAAAAACGAAAGACTAAAAAACCTATCACAAAGCGTGTGGTTGGGTACTGAATAATGGCGGCATCTACAGGGAACTGAAGATACTTAATTACAATTTTTAGGTGACAGAGTGGTTATAATAATCCCAAAAGAAAACCCACATTGAATCATAATTTAAATAAATATTATCAAACAAAGGAGTTTTCCATTAGGAATACAAGCGCAGAATAAATAAATGAACCAAAACCTGTATAATGTATATGGAAAACATGAAGAATGTAGAATATTTTCAATTCATTCGTTCCCAGAAAAAAATGAATCTTGCAATTTTAATTTTGTGTGCGT